GATGATGATGATGATGATGATGATGATGATGATGATGTGGTTTGAGAAACAGAGAAAAAATACATGTATTCATGTTTACTGACTTAAAATTAATCAAGACTCCCCAACCTATTCTACCTTTTCAACAATGATGATGATGATAATGTCTTTTTGGGGTTCTAAAAAATATATAATATTGATGATGCTAATTTATGGTGTCACTGCTTTTGATAACGATGATAGTATTTTATTAGATCTATTGGTTGTGGTGGTGATAAAAGTAAGGATGATGATGATTTTATTGCCGTTGCTGATGCCATTAGGGTTACTTACTGATGACGTCGTTGTTGTTAACAACGTCGAAGTACTATTCTTTGAAGTATGAGGACATTGTAATATTTTTTTCCTTTTGCTAATTGGAACCCGGGACTTTCGATTGCTATACATGTATCTAGTTTGAAAGCTGCAGCAGCACAGAAGACTCTGGGTGGGATGAAATTGTATTTTATGTAATTATCTCCATTAACCTGGTGAAACGCTGTATCTTTCTTAGCTGGAGATAGCCCTGACAAGAAGGGTCGAAGCCACACTCCTCCTAATTGATCTAAATAATCTCCACCGGGGCGTAAAAAGTCTGCAATTACTTGAAATATTATAGAACATGACCAACGTAGCAAATATTGCTTATTTGTTAGAGAAAATCCACCCATTTAATCCGCGGCATGACTTCTTGGGCTGTGTTGATCTGTATAGTAATATGAGATACTGTAATTAAGACTAATATAACCATGTCGTTACCCTAGAATTATAAAAAGTTCTATCTGCTCAGTACCTAGTTTTGTTGAGAAGTTTTGTTGTTTAAAATTTCAAGTTTTACAACATGTTCAAGCCTTTTCTAACGCAATTCTAAGAATATATCGATAACGACTCCGAATGCCCTTACGATTTTGATAGACCAGATAAATCATGTGGTTTCTGACGTCATGGTCTTATAGTAACTCAAAACGACCCAAAATGTCAGACAGAACTTGGTAATTCTAAAGTAGCGATGTGAATGGGGTCACTTGATCCACTTTTGACTTTACCGAGTGAGATATTGGCACGTTGTACTCAATGGCATCAACTGGGTCATTCTCCTCTCTTTTGAATTAATGACACACGTACGATCTTAGTCAGATCAATATACGTATGTACGTGATTGTGTGCCGTAATATGCAGACTTCAACGTATTATTAAGTTAAGGACCACTTGCAAACACTCTGAGTGGTCTTATTGGACCGACCTGCACTTGGGCGTTCTTGGACTGATCCAGTGGCGTAATGGCACTGCCTCAAGTGGACAATGACAGAGTGTGACACTGCATGCCTTCTGGCAACTCCTCGGGCTCCAATTCCATCATGCATCCATGCCATAGCCCAGGCACGATCAAAGTCTCTCAGCTTTCCTCTCGGTGGCATATTATTGATTCGATTCTGTACTTTGCGCAAACAGCAGCTTATATTGCCACCAAAGTGAGCACAATTCGAGACCATACATCTGTTTTTGAGTTGCACCAGAAGTTTTAACTGAGGCAATGTCCGTAGTGTTGCACACAAGTCGATTAAAAACAGCAAATTTGACTAGATTCTAAAATTCCCCGAGGATTTCTGAGCCGCACATAGTGGTTTTGCCCCTTTAGGAAGCTTTGCAGTTCGGATTTGTAACCCTTTCACACTTTCACTCATTCAGAGCAAAAACAATTTGAAAAATCCCTTGCTGTCTTTTTTTTCTGAATTTTTAATTTTCAGGGCTGTCTGTCAAGGTGGTCCTTAACTTATGTTGAAGTCTCTCTGTATATATATATGTATATTGTAATCATATTTGTAGGCGCTTTGTTAGCTCAGTTGGTATCATGCTAGACTAGCTAGCAGATGGCATTGGTTCAAATATCACATTGGGCGTTCTTGAATTCGGCTCGTTTTATTTAGTATTTAAAGCTACCAACCCATTTGGCTTTGGTCCTACCAGAGCAGGACGTTAAATTCGGAGGTCCCGCCTCTTCAAAATAGCCTTATAGTGTTCATGGAGGTGTTAAGCCGAAGGAATTTCAAATGTATTGCGTATGCATTTTATATATTGTGGCGTCGGTGGCCTAATGGTTAGGCTTTGAGACTCGCAACCGTAAAGGTCTTGGTTCGAATCCTGTAAGGGACCTGCCGTTGTGTCCTCAGAAAAGGCACTTCACACGAATTGTCCTCCGGTCGCCCCGGGTGGGAACGGGTACCCGGCTGTAAACGGCGAAAGATCTTGTTAGTTTGTTAGTGTTTGAGCGCCTGAAATCCGCAGCTTGCACTGCATGCGTACCGGGAAGCCGAGAATGTGTCTGGATGTTCTAGGATCTACTGGGGTAATAATAATAGTTGTAAAGCACATAGAGCGTGCGTGGAGCGTGGATCTGCACAATGTAAGTGCTATTATTATTATTATTATTATTATTATTATTATTATTATTATTATTATTACTCTTATCATTGTTATTATT